TCCTTCCTCTTGCCTATCATTCACCCCCTTGGTAAAACTTTCTTTCTCTCCCCAGTCTTCCACTGCATGAAAAATTCAAGATGGCGGCTAAACTTTTTACGATGTGAGCGCTCGCTCGAAAAAATCTCGCCTGCTCTGCAGGCTATGGAAGAATAAATATGGCCGTTCTGAACTGTATCGTGATCAAATCTTCTCACATATCATTTACATTTACAACAAGACATTTGATTGGCTGTTTATAGTAGATCCAATCTGATTGGTGTGACATATATACATCTCGCACTCACTTTCTCACTCACTGGGTGCTTACCATTTGTCAGAATAAACCGCTTGGGATGACCGTTGTAGGATGGTAAGGGTTTTTCCAAAATCAGCAAACCAACCGAACGAGATGGCGCTTACCATTTGCAATTCGATTTCTCGTAATTGTTTACGGCTGATGAGAGACTAGAAACTGGAACATTTACCAAATGGTAAGGAGATTTCCGCCGTTCCGTTCCGAACGGAAAAAGAGGACTTCCTCTGAAGGAAGTCTACAATTTCCGAACGGATTTTCCGGAAAATTACTGTTCCATTTGCAACTTTCAACCGAAATTTCCGGATTTTTTTTGCTAATAGGTATAAAGCACCCACTCACTCACTCACTCATCCATTGACCCGTCCATAACATACCCCGACGCGTCGACTAAGAGGTATTTTTTTTACAAAAAAATAACTCAAAAATGAAAGCAATACATTTTCCATGATAATTTGAGTGGTCGGTTCTTACGCGGACTTGTGAGAAGTGTATCAGACCGATGGAAACGATTCTGCGGTGCTCGAACGCACAATTATCATATACTCCTGATCATATATGATGTGGGTACTCATTTTAGTTACCGCTGATCTATATAGCGCTTGGTTCGTGGTGTCGCTTCTCGGTTCTTTTTTCGCCTGACTCGACTCTTTGCCTTGCTGTTTACAGTGGTGATGTAACGTACAAAACTTATATTTTCCGGTTTTAATCATGTCGACGACTTTAGTAGCAGAAAAATCCTTGGTAGGAACAATTGACATCGTATTGCTTGCTTCTTTCATCGGTGTTTTACTCTACTGGTTTTGTGGGCGAAAAAAGAAGACCGAGACTGCGGCTCTTACACAAAAACTGGTTTTGGCGTAAGTAAACTCTGACAAGTACATATGCTTAATTTTCACTCGAGGGTTATAAAGTCAAGTTGATAACCATTAGCTATCATATTTTAGATGCAGTAACGCTCAATCAAAGCTTGAAGTATGATGCATTGTATAGCTGTACGACAGACTGCGGACTACGTTTAGCTCTACAGCTCTGTAAATAGAGCTCCGGTTAACCTGAGTAATATTCACTCATGCTAGCCTGAATAACGCTAAGGTTAGCCTGTTTACGCTTAGCCCTTGATAATGGAAATGGGAATACAATATTACATGAGATAAAAATTTGCATTCTGTTGTCACTAAATGTCATACAGCACGCATTTTATTGCAGGGGCTTAAAATCGGTATATCATTTAATTATTCGAGGGTTCATGCCATGGCCGGCTTGCATAATGTTACACAAAAAGGGATTGACACTTGTTATGGAGAAATAAACTTCAATAAGATTGTCTCAAGGCAGAATTGTGTTGAAGTCTTGTGCACTTTTGTTGCAAGCTGTGTCCATTTTAAAAGGGTTTTAACCCATTGACACCTGGAAGTTTTGCTGAAAATGCCTATTGTGGACATTTTCAGCCTGGATATGAGCAAAATTTAATAGCTGCAATCTACCCAAAAAGGTATTTCCAACATGACAGCATGTCTTTCTTTCCACTGGCATCACGTTTTATGACATTTTTGCTTGGGCATGGGTAAAAATCAAGATTGCAAGAGTCTTTCTAAGGCTTTTAGGTTTTCTTTTTCGCCTTTCCTTTTCTCCTTTCTTATCTTTTTGCTGCAGTGATTGACCTTCTACTGGGCTTGCTTCCAGTTCATGAATTCCCGAGAAAGCACTATTGAGACAGGCAATTCTTACCATGGAGTAGCCAAGTGTAGTTTAGGGAAATTTTGCTCCGAGTTTTTAACTCAAATTTCTGAGCATTTCCGGGCATATTGCGGGCTCTACTGACCCAGTCACTCTGATCTGGGTATCAGTGGAAAGATCTTTACTTGAGTATAGATGATACCAATTTTGGTCAAAGGTGGTTACGTCAGAAGTGGAACACTCAAGTGTGAGATATATCTTCTCAATCAAAACAAAAACTAAGGAGTAAAATCATCAAAATCTATGCTTATTAAGACTGGGTATCCAAACATCCTTCATGGTTGTGATTTTCTCTGTTTTAACTTGATGAATTTTTAATGAGTGTGAGAAGTGCATTGTAGTGGTCACAGAGCTCAAAAATATTGTCCGTCCACCTCGATAGTTCTTCTCAATCCCTCGTATTGTCACCTTTTTACCAGATAACCAGAAGTAGTAACATGGCTTTGAATGCAAACTTAAACATTAATGCTTGCTTATTTTTGTTTCAATAGGCCAACATCCAAAGTTTCCCAAGAGGACACAAGTTTCATTGGGAAAATGAAAAAATCTGTAAGTTAGGTTATTGAGGGAATGCAATCTGTGCAGAAGGCTAGGTAGATTCCCTAGTAACTTTAACTCATATAACCATTGTGTTTGCATGCATTGCATTACAAACACTTTCTCCCCTTCCTCTGATATGGAGAATGTTTTGGCTTCCATTGTTCAAGGACTGAAAAACCAACCACATAGAACTGATAACAACATCAAAGTGACATCTGCGCAGCCTGCTCTTATAATCATGATTGTGCCCCTGTTTCGGTAGCTTGAAATGGTTTTGGGAGTTTCAAATGGAAAGGGAAAAAAAGGATACCTACTAAGAGGTTAATTAAATATCAAAAAGGGTCATTTTCAAAAAGTGTCTCAACTACTTTTGATGCCCATTGTAGGCTAGAAAGAAGATTCCCATTGATAACGTTCATCACAGCAAACTTTTACATGAAAATGCTTGCAGAGTTTATGACTAGCTCATTTATGACACTCAGCTAGGTGATTTGGCTCTTTAGCTCTTTAGTAAATATATGTTATAAAAAGGTAATAAAGTTGTAGTTGTTGTTGCCGTTGAGTAGGACAAAACTATGCTTGGTATAGCCAAAAGTTCTTGGTGAGCTTGTTTTGCTGCCAGTGAATTTGCCTCTTTAATATAAGACACCACTTGTTCCTGCTGTTCCATCAATGATGATGGTGACGTGAAACATTTTCTGTATAGTCTTTTTTAAGTTACTGTAGTATCTCTTCCAGACTGTTGGTAATTTTCTTCTGTTAAAATGAAGTTTTCGACCTGTTTCTTTTGCAGGGAAAGTCCATAGCAATATTCTATGGCTCTCAAACTGGGACAGCTGAAGAGTTTGCTGGTCGCCTGGCAAAGGATGCTCAACGTTATGGTTTGAAAGCTCTTGTGCTAGACCCAGAGGAGTGTGACATGGTAAATGAAGTTGTTTATAATAAGTTAAGGAGCTAGGACATAGACATGTATGAGAAGTTTTTAATAGCTGTATAGCTTTTTCTAAACTTGTTTTTAACATTCATGGCTATCCTAAGCAGCACTTCAAAGTAGAACAATATAACACTCAAATTGCTATCCAGTGGTGGTTCCTGCATTCTGAGGCATCAGTCTGCTAAGCAGTGATAAAAAGCTGACACACTCTCCCTGATATTCTCTTCAACATGATGTCACACAAAAATGGGCAATAGGACCTATCTCATTTTATCAAGTTTTAAATTTGTAATTTTCACAATCATCTATCTGTTTTTTCTGGCTTTTAGTAGGTGTTGAGGTGGTTCCTTTTGTTTGTTTGTCTGAACAGGAAGAGCTTACACGCATGGGGGAAGTTGAGAATGCAATGGCTATCTTTGTAGTTGCTACATATGGTGAAGGTGACCCCACTGATAATGCACAGGAGTTCTATGAATGGTTACAGAATGATAGAGATGACCTGGACTGTGTTAATTATACGGTAAGCATTATTATTATTATTATTAATAATAATATTATTATTGTTGGTAACACCTAGATGTTATGTAATTTGTTAGTATTGTGTTTTGTATCGCAATAAAACAATTTTGAAAGTCAAAAAAACAATTTGAGTTTTTGTTGATTTACAAGAATTTTTTTAAATTGTCACAGGTCATTCAATATTCAAACATTCAGTGTCCAAAACTGTCGTCTTACAGTCCAGGTTATAGTTTTGAATCATGGCAATTTTACATGAACATGTGCCTTTTTGAGCCTTCCTTTATTAAGAATTAGAATTACCAGTCTGAGACTGCTTACATGTACACAGCTACAAAAGGTGAAATTGAAAAGGAAGGAGAACAAAAATAGGTGTGATTTTTGACTATTCATCACATGCACCACTGGTTTGTTTTCCTTGCAGTTCATTTGCAACTGATTAGTGGCTTCATGTCATTGTATCTAAGTATAAGTTATAAGGGTCCAAAACTCTTGTTTCATGCCACTAAAGGTGGTTTCATTGCTCAAATATTAATAATCAATTAAGAGCCTTTGATCATCACATTACATCACATTGAATTAGATAATTTTGTTGTTGTTTTCTTATTTACTACTGCAATAGGTCTTTGGTCTAGGAAACAAGACATATGAACACTACAATGCAATGGGCAGATTCGTGGACAAACGACTTGAAGAGATGGGCGCAAAACGAGTATTTGAAAAAGGAGAGGGGGATGATGATGGAAAGTGAGTAGCAATAAGTCCACAACAAGTTTGGATTTATTTATCCTTTAAAGATAAGAAAACTAGTCCCTATTTTCCAATTCTAGGCTGTGGTCTAAGAAAAAATTATGAGGAACATAAAGGTTCCTTAGTGTGAAATCCTGGGTGCCCAGCCCTAGAGCTTACAGTATATGAAAGAAGTAAGTTTTCCCAGTCGCCCAAAGGCAAAAGTTAGTCACCTGTGGCACCTGGGCACTTCTAGAGCACAGCCCTGCAATTGCCTATAATTCACTCTGTTTGCCTCCCCGCCCCCCCCCCACCCAAAAAAAAAATTTGCATAAACTATTGTTATGAAATGCTCTTGGGAGATTTGCATATTTCCAAAAGCATTTCACAACAATGGTTTATGCAAAATTTGGGGGGCAAACAGAGTGAATTATTGGCGATTTGAAAATAGAGAATTATACAGTCGTAAAAGCAACAATTTTGTGGGTTAAGCTACCTAAGGCAAAGTAGCACTCAGGCAAAACTGAAGTATCACATTTACTTTTTCAACATTTTGCTGCATCAAAAATGAAAAAAAAAAAAACACACAATGATTAAGCTGATAACTCTTCTGACTCAGGCAAAATGATCCTTATTAAGTAAAAACATACTGTTCACTGATCAGCTCATTCTGCACAATCCTTTAGATAGATAGACACCTTTATTTAAAAGTAAAGATTTTAAAGTTAAAAAATTTCAGGGTAGCCCCTTCAGGGAGCTTACAAAGCGTCTCTGCTATCTCTGCTTTGAGTCTCTGAATTTTAAATTTATATTAAAAATTTCTGTAGTTTGGAAGAGGACTTTGTAAGATGGAGAGAACAATTCTGGCCAGCAGTGTTAAGCAAATACAACATTGATATCAGAGAAATCAAGAGGCAAGTTCTGTGTAATAATTACTGAATTTCTATGTTGGGTGCCTGTGTTTATTTTATGTGACTGTAATGACTGTTACACATCGTACATGTTCATAACTTAACCTTAATCAGTTTTCAGATCAGGTCTGCAAACTTGATATTGTTCTTTACCTGTGGTTCCAGTCCATTATATTTGATATTTAGGGTAATGATCTGTAAAACCTGATTGGAAGCTTCTTTAGAATAAAATGTATACCATGTACTGGCTAACTTGTTTGCCCAAGTAGCAAGATAAGCAAAAATTCTTTGCACTGACCATGCTCTATTGTTCTATTTCAGCATATATATACTAAGTCATTTAGTTCTATTTTTGTGGGTACTGGCTAGAAGCCAGTAACTGTAATGTCAACAGGTGGGTAAGACAGTCCGTGACTTTTCGGAAGCTTTCGGAGAAATCTCATGAAGCAGGGCCCAAAATACCTCGAGATTTGCCCAGGTTCTTTTGATCGATTTTCGCCTTTAAAATGCGAGTTATAATGAAATAACTACTCTTAAGTACTGTTTAAAATTGGTTCTGTTTAATTTAATATCGCAATTGGAGTGAAAAATGGCAAATTTACTAGCAGAAGCATAACGTTACTGAACATTATGAATGACTACGATCTCTAACCGCTGACTGCATGTAGGACATTGCAAACTCGTTTTCCCACACTCTTTGAAGTGATGCGACTTGGCGAGTAGACAAGGTTTTCTATTTTTTTCGCTTATAACCAGGCACAGCTATCACTGAATGTGCTAAAATATTGTTCTCGAAGAATCTTTCAGGATTTTGAGCAGTTTCTGAAAGTTTTGATTGGAAATATGATTGTTACATGCCTTGACAGCAGCTATCGAACAAATAAAATGCACATTTGCAAATTGATGTTTATTTCATGTAAACTTTCATACTACCCTGAAATTAATGTAATGCTTGTTTTATTATAAACATTTGTTTCAGTTACAGACAGGATCGATTCTAAAATGCTCTGCTGGTTAAAAGCTATCTGAACCAGGTCGATAAGATTGTTCGCATAATTTCTTCATCCGAAAAGTCTGGATTCTTTCAGTATTAAATACTGACAGATCAGGAATGTTTGCTTCACTTTGTAACATGTTGGGTCTTTGGGTCCTGGCAATGACATAGTTTATATTTTAGACATTACACGGTATGTCCAGGCTCAACAACTTTCTTTGAATGGGATGTTTTGTATTTCTTTCAGCAGCAATATATATATATCATTGCTCTTTATTCAGTTCTTTTACTATCTTTTCTTTCTAAAAATGAAGTCATCACTCCTAAATATATCAAGGGAAAATGCTCACAGATTGTATTCTGAACTCACCAAATGGGTGGAGATGTTGAGGGAGAGAGACTCCTTTCATAAAGAGTACCAAATCTGCACTACAGTCAATATCTACAAACAAACCCCTACAAGGAACTAAAAAGACTTGCATTCGCTTATTATATAATACCTTGAAAAACAAAATCACTGTAAATTGTACTCTT